CTCTCCTCTCCCCTCACACTGTTACCCAGGCTGGAGTGCGGTAGTGCGATCTCTGCTGACTGCCACCTCCACCTCCTGGGTTCAAGTGATTCCCCTGCCTCAGCCTCCTGAGTAGTTGGGATTACAGGTGTGTGCCACTACGCATGGCTAATTTTGGTATTTTTTTTTTTCTTAATAGAGAGGGGGTTTCACTATGTTGGTCAGGCTGGTCTTGAACTCCTGACCTCATGATCCACCTGCCTCAACCTCCCAAAGTGCTTGGATTACAGGCATGAGCCATCACACCTGGCCTATTTTCTTTGACCCTCAGTCTTGCTCTGTCGCCCAGGCTGGAGTACAGTGGCACGATCTCAGCTCACTGCAACCTCTGCCTCCTGGGTTTAAGTGATTCTCATGCCTCAGCCTCCCAAGTAGATGGGATTACAGGTGCATGCCACCACACCCGGCTAATTTTGTATTTTTAGTAGAGGTGAGGTTTCACATGTTGGCCAGGCTGGTCTTGAACTCCTGACCTCAAGTGATCTGCCTGCCTTGGCCTCCCAAAGTGCTGGGATTACAGGAGTGAGCCACCATGCCCGGCCTTTCGTTTTTATTTTTATTTTTTAATTTTACTTTAAGATCTGGGGTACATGTGCAGAACGTGCAGGTTTGTTCCATAGGTATACGTATGCCTTGGTGAACTGCTTTTTTAACATTCTCTTCTCCCTTGACTCCAGGGTACCATTCCCTTCTGTTTTTTTATTTTTATTTTTTCTGTTTGTAGGGCTGCTTTTCTCAGTTTCCTTCCTGGGCTCCTTTTCTACCTCCTGTATCTTAACTGCTGTTATTTCTTAGAGTTGTGTCCTTGTCATTTTAGCTCACTCTGCATATTTCCCTGCCTGATGCTAGCCACTCATTTATCCCTGCTGTTGGCTTATGACTTCCAAATCTGTCATCTCCAGTTCATTTTTCTTTCTGAACTCTAAAGGCATATACAGTATTTAACTGTGTACCAGATATCTCTGTTTTGGAAATCACAGTTTCCTCAAACTCAGTGTGTACAAAATAGAATTCATCGTCGTTCCCTGAAAACTTCATTCTGTTCCTGTGGTTTTTTTTTTCATAACCTACTAATTACCCAAGCTAAAATCCTGAATCTTGGCCTTGATGCTTCCTCCTCTAATAATTTGTTCCTTAGTACCAAGGTGTACTATTTGACTTTCCCAAAATATTTCTCTGCTTACTTTCCTCCTATGTTCCATTGCCACTGTCTCACTTGAGATTGCCTGGATGACAGCCTCTTGACTAATCTTTCTGCCTGTACTTTTATCAGTGAAAACCTATCACTAGGTTGAATTCCTTTTTTTCTTTTTTCTTTTTAAAATAGAGATGGGATCTCACTACATTTCCCAGGCTGGTCTCTTAACTCCTGGGCTCAAGCAGTCCTCCTGCCCC